ACCCCCTCGCCGTCGTTTTCCCCCTTTTTTTTCCGATCGATCCCTCGCAGGAGTGTGAGCCCCGCCGCGGCGCACGACCTCGACCTGGAGGAAAAAGCGCTCGGGCCCGCGGCCTTTTTTTCGTTTTTTTTTCCAGTGCCGAGCGGGCACTTAGGAGTGCCGAGCGGGCACTTAGGCGTGCCGAGCGGGCACAGTGCCGAGCGGGCAATTAGGTAAACGTGGCACTCTAGGTTAGGAGTAGTCACCGGGGCACGAGTCAGCTTTGGGGGTGCGAAGGGGGAAGGGGCGCGAGTCAGCTTTGGGCTCCCACCGGGGCGCGAGTCAGCTTCGGGGGCGCGAAGGGGGAAGGGGCATGAAGGGCAAGCGGGAGGACGGCCAAGGGTTCTTTGCAAGGGGATCGATCCTTTTTTTTCTTCTGTCAGGAGGGCGCCTGGCCTGCTGGGCAGGAGGACGGTCGAGGGTTCTTCTCCAGCCAGAATTGGGACGGCTCCGGAGGGAGCTGCGGCGGCTGGGAGGACGGTCGAGGGTTCGCCAGGGTGTCGTTTGTTTTTCTTCTGTCAGGAGGGCGCCTGGCCTGGCGGCTGGCAGGAGGGTTCGTTAGGGGGGGGGTCGGTCCCTTTTTGCCTCTGCCAGGAGGCCTCTTCTCGTTTTTTGCGTCGCTCGCGGAGGCCGCCGCCTTCCAAACTCCGCCGCGAGGCGGAGTTCAACGCGGCGAAGGCCTGCCTTTTTCCTCGTTGTTTCTTTTTCCGCTCGCCTGGCAGGACCGGACGCGGCTGGAGCTCGCGCTCAAGGCGCGTCTTCGTTTCTTCGCCGTTCGGATGTCGCCTTTTTCTCCCGCCAGGAGGAGCGCCTCTCCGCCGCGGAGGCTCGCGCCACCGCGGCGGAGGCCCGCGTCACCGCCTTGGAGGAGGACAAGGCGCGACTCTCTCTTCCGGGGTTGGGCGGGGGACGCAAATCCGTTTTTGCAGGCGGCGCTGATGAGGGAGGTGGCCGCGAAGGCCCGTCTTCCTCCCTTCTTTCCCCCCCTTTTTGGGGCGTTTTTTCCTCGTCAGGACACGCGGATCGCGGTGCTGGAGGCGGAGGTGGTGGCGGAGAAGCGCTGGACGCAGGGCTATCAGGCTCGCTTCCGGACGTCTTTTTTTTCCTGCCCCCGTTGCACCCGTCAGGCCGATGCGCGCGCTCTCCGCGAGGAGGTCGCCCGGCTGAGGACGCCACAGGCTCATCCGTCGTCCGTTGAAATTGTTCGGCCTCGCTCTCGTGTCAGGCCGCTTCCTCCTCTCCGGCCCCGAAGCGCTCGCGGAAAGGACCCCCCCGTCTTCGTTTTTTCCTTCCGAACCGTCGCGCTCGATCCCTCGCAGGACAGTGAGCGCCGGCACCGCGAAGCCCGACCTCGGCCCGCCGGAGAAAATCGCCCGGGCCCGCGGCCTTTTTTTTCTTTTTTCGGGAGTGCCGAGCTGGCACTTAGGTAGGAGTGCCGAGCGGGCACTTAGGAGTGCCGAGCGGGCAGATGTGAGTCAGCTTTGGGGGGGCGTGAAGGGGGAAAGAATGTGAGTCAGCTTACTCCGTTTGATACTGGCTCGCCCAACCTCGTTTGATATTGTGCTCTGCCAGGAAGGGGAAGTTTTTCTCTGCCAGGAAGGGGAAGTGTGCTCTGCCAGGAACGGGAAGTGTGCTCTGCCAGGAAGTGTGCTCTGCCAGGAAGTGTGCTCTGTGAGGAAGGGGAAGTGTGCTCTGCCAGGAAGGGGAAGTGTGCTCTGCCAGGAAGTGTGCTCTGTCAGGAAGTGTGCTCTGCCAGGAAGTGTGCTCTGCCAGGAAGGTGAAGGGGCGCGAGTCAGCTTTGGGCTCCCTGTTGTTGAACACTCATCAACAGTCACCGGGGCGCGAGTCAGCTTCGGGGGTGTGCGAAGGGGAAAGCGGCGTGAGTCAGCTTTGGGTTCCCTGTCCGGGGGGCTCCCTGTTGTTGAACACTCATCAACAGTGACCGGGGCGCGAGTCAGCTTCGGAACCGCGAAGGGGGAAGGGGCGCGAGTCAGCTTTGGGCTCCCTGTTGTTGAGCACTCATCAACAGTCACCGGGGGGCTCCCTGTTGTTGAACACTCATCAAAACGGACCACCACCGGGCTCCAAAACTGATGTGGGTATGGGTGAAAACAGAGAAAAACGGACCACCACCAACCTCCAAAACTGATGTGGGTATGGGTGAAAACAGAGAAAAACGGACCACCACCGGGCTCCAAAACTGATGTGGGTATGGGTGAAAACAGACAAAAACGGACCACCACCGGGCTCCAAAACTGATGTGGGAATGGGTGAAAACAGAGAAAAACGGACCACCACCGGACTCCAAAACTGATGTGGGTATGGGTGAAAACAAAGAAAAACGGACCACCACCGAGCTCCAAAACTGATGTGGGAATGGGTGAAAACAGAGAAAAACGGACCACCACCGGGCTCCAAAACTGATGTGGGTATGGGTGAAAACAAAGAAAAACGGACCACCACCGAGCTCCAAAACTGATGTGGGTATGGGTGAAAACAGAGAAAAACGGACCACCACCGGGCTCCAAAACTGATGTGGGTATTGGTGAAAACAAAGAAAAAACGGACCACCACCGGGCTCCAAAACTGATGTGGGTATGGGTGAAAACAGAGAAAAACGGACCACCCACCGGGCTCCAAAACTGATGTGGGTATGGGTGAAAACAGAGAAAAACGGACCACCACCGGGATGGGTATGGTGAAAACAGAGAAAACGGACCACCACCGGGCTCCAAAACTGATGTGGGTATGGGGTTTAGGGTTTAGGTGGTGGTCCGTTTTTCTCTGTTTTCACCCATACCCACATCAGTTTTGGAGCCGTGGTAGTCCGTTTTTCTCTGTTTTCACCCATACCCACATCAGTTTTGGAGCCTGGTGGTGGTCCGTTTTTCTCTGTTTTCACCCATACCCACATCAGTTTTGGAGCCCGGTGGTGGTCCGTTTTTCTCTGTTTTCACCCATACCCACATCAGTTTTGGAGCCCGTGGTGGTCCGTTTTTCTCTGTTTTCATCCATACCCACATCAGTTTTGGAGCCCGGTGGTGGTCCCACCCATACCCACATCAGTTTTCACCCATACCCACATCAGTTTTGGAGCCCGGTGGTGGTCCGTTTTTCTCTGTTTTCACCCATACCCACATCAGTTTTGGAGCCCGGTGGTGGTCCGTTTTTCTCTGTTTTCATCCATACCCACATCAGTTTTGGAGCCCGGTGGTGGTCCGTTTTTCTTTGTTTTCACCCATACCCACATCAGTTTTGGATCCCGGTGGTGGTCGGTTTTTCTCTGTTTCGCCCATACCCACATCAGTTTTGGAGCCCGGTGGTGGTCCGTTTTTCTCTGTTTTCACCCATACCCACATCAGTTTTGGAGCCCGGTGGTGGTCCGTTTTTCTTTGTTTTCACCCATACCCACATCAGTTTTGGAGCCCGTCCGCTTTCCTGGTCCGTTTTTTTGTTTTCACCCATACCCACATCAGTTTTGGAGCCCGGTGGTGGTCCGTTTTTCTCTGTTTTCACCCATACCCACATCAGTTTTGGAGCCCGGTGGTGGTCCGTTTTTCTCTGTTTTCACACATACCCACATCAAATGGGCAGGGTTTTCGGGGCATGCAGGG